CTGATAACACTTTATCTGAGACAATCAGTCAAAGCAAAATATGTCATTAAAAGCATTTATTAACCTGAATAATTATGCTCGTATGTCACTAATACATGAAAGCAAGTTAAGTTTACTTTCTCTCAATCTGCATGTTAATAAATTTTTTTTTTTAATTCTTCCAATTAATTGCAAGTTTAATTTTAATCTACTTAATGATTACCTTCAATGAATGCACAGGAGTATTGAAATTAAAGTACAGAATTAAAATGCTGTTTTCATGAATTCTTGGAAACTTTCCGATAATTACTTTATTATATAATATTCTAGTGACTAAATGAGTGTTATCATCAATCTTTATTCACTTGAATTACATTTAAAACTTAATCTGATTCGTAAGACCCATAATCTAAGGATTAATTTGGTATAACTTTGTGTCTTACTTTCCCGATTCCTTTGAAGGTGCTATTTCCAATATAACTTCTAACTAAAATTCTATGTAAAAAAAAACAGTTCTAAATAATTCGATTTTTTGCATGGAATTTTGTTCAACTAAGGAATTGTAAGTGAATTATATTTTCGGTTAAAATTCATCAGTTCACTATAAATGAAATATAATTTAGCGGCAGGTAGTCACGTCGATAGTCAATTCAGCAAAAAAAAAAATGAATGGCAATGCAAGATTACTTCACAATAAATAGTTTTTCAAAGAGAAAAATTCCGAAAACAGTGAAACTGAAATTGCTCAAAACATAATTCACTAACATAATTTAGTGCAAAAATTCCTATTTTATTAGCATATTTGAAAAAGTTTTCCAGGAGTATTTGTCATTCAAAAAATTTCGTTAAGTTTCAAAAATAATTCAAAGCTATTTAACAAAGAATTAATGTATTCTGATTAAGGATAAAAATATTTAGAAGCTGCCATTTGGGCCGACACTTAAAAATGCACTACTAATTTTACTGCAATTTTATTAAGGTCAAAACAGATCAGAAAGTTACTTAATCTATGCTAGTACTTCCTAAGTAATTTTTTTTATGCTGGAAGCAATGTCAATCTACTTTGTATACACGTAATTTCAATGCAATTAAAGACAGATAAAAGTTTTTGCAGAAATTTGAAGGATTAATTATATTAGAAAGCTATGTGAATCGAATGTACTGAATTAAATATGCTATTTTTTAATTTTTTTTGAGATATTTAATCCTTTTTTTTGAAATACTTAAGGACTTAATTACTTAATTATTATTAAGAAAAATAACAAATTTATCAATGGGAATCTGGGTGGTTTGTTAATATAAGTTGTTAATTCAGAGAAAGCTGTATTTCGAATTTGTTATTTGTCATCAAGGGTAATAGGATGAAAAGAAGATTTAACAAAAAAAAAAAATAATAATTCAAAACAAAGTGATCTACCGATTTGTTCTCGAACACTTTTGACAGTCCTAAATCATCCTTCGTTACTTCTTTTTAGATCATTCTATCCATCTATCTTTAAAAATCGAATTCAAATTATCCACTGCTTAGAACACATTAACTTTCGGTTTCACATTATCAAAGATTCAATTTAAAGGACCTATGATGTATAAATTATTTTTAATCTAAATTAATTACTGCCTAATCGTTATTCATTTTACTACTTAATTCGAAGACGCAAAGATTATGTTTAAGTTATAAAATATAATTTTATGCTGTTTATTTGTAATCGAAGAAAAGAAATGAGAATCACTTGAAAGAAGAAATTATATGTCTATAATTTTTCAATATATCAAAAACTAAATGGAAAAAATCTAACGCAATTACAGGTACTGCAATTCTAATTATTTTGGATCAGAATAATTTAGCAGTGTTACTCATATCAAAAATTCTTGCCTTTATTCAGAAAATATAAGAAGTTACATCTTGCATACTAGCCAGTTCAGGTTTGTCAAGTAATTAGATAATTGCTGTTCACCTCAGTTTCTCAGTTTCCTTGCATACTGTCTCTAAATGCAAAAGCAACAACAATTTGTTTGGTATTAATTAACATTCAAATGGAAAAAAATTTGAAGCATATCAAGAAAAGTAGATTGATGCAAGGAAATTGAGATTTAACGCAAGAAAAAAATAATTCCTGGTTAAATCTCTAAATTCAATAATAATTTGTCATTTGTTTCATTCTCAACTCTACGTCCCTTTCGCATTTTATCATTTTTTTATTTTGTTAACAATAAATGTCTTTTCTAAAAAGACTAGAAATCTTAAAATTTAAGAAAATTAAGCAGACTTGTCGAGAGACACTTAAATACAAAGCAGGTTCTTCATGCTTACAGCTTTCCTAAAAAATCTGTTTTTTCCGTTTTAGGATTTTTATGGGAAGATTTCATCAAATTCTAATTATAAACAGGGCATAAACATTCTATATATATTTTTTTTATTTCTCTTATTATACATACGATTTGACCTGCTATTCCTCGAATAAAGAAGTGACACGCAGAGGTGGTCTCTTATCGAAGGCTTTAATTAGCATTTGTTTTATCATTAAAAGATTTTAAAATGCTGCAATTTTTGACACAGTTTTTTATGTTTACCTCTTCGTCTGTCTACTGAAATTGTACTTAGAATGTTAGTTTAGTCTCTTCTCTTATATTTTCCTTTTATCATAATACATTGGTACATACCTAATAATAGCATTAGTAATTGTAAGAACTCTATAATCTATAAGAAAAGATTTTTCAATAATTTTTTAAGATGACAATAACATATTCACTGCATAAAAACATCCAAATTTGGTTTCTTGGTTTTATTAAATTGAAAGATAAAGTAAACAACGTAAAATGATGGAAAAAAATGTGCTGAAAAGGTAAGAAAGCAACCTATTGCTCCGTCATAACATAATTAATGAGAAAGCTTACAAAATAAGCTGAAGTGGTATCCATATGGCAAAGATGATCAGTACGCCAAGGTCACCAACAGCATGAGACATGCAGGAATAGCCGAAAGCATTTTGCAAATTCTTTGCAGCTATGATAACCACAATTGCAGCACCGTTTGTTATGATACCGAACACTGATAGCTGTAATGCAAAAGTTTGAATTGAATTAGCAGCAAAAAAGGAAAAGTGCTAAGGAAAAAAACAAGGACACGTGAGTCCACTACACGTGATCCTTACTACGTCCTCATGAACACGTTAATGCACTGATTAGCAGTTTTAGAATTTCATTATTATCTTGTTCATTTTCAATTAGCAGCAATAGAAACCGTAAAGCAGATCACAGCAGCGTAAATTTCGTCCGCCCGGTTAGAGTGTATTATTTGTTCAGTGCTATTTAGCACCATTTGAATATCCTATGAATGATTCATTCCTGAAGAATATAATAATTTATAGATTGTGCATCTTTCTAGCCGGAAACCGAGATGAATTTTCCGGCGAAAATCTATTGACAATCCGGCATTTTTCTTTAAAAGAAGAAAACAAGGATCATGAATAGAAGAAGTGTTATTCTTCATATTTCAAAAAATATTTTTGCCTCGTTATCTCATTAAACTAAAACAAAACACATTGAGATTACAACGTTGACAATGCTAAGGTTATGAGTTAAAAATATGTTTCAGTAAGTATAATTCATATTTTGTATTAAAGTCTGTACAATCATTATTTAAACACTTGAACATAAAACTTAATTGTTTATCATTTATGATGGATATTTAAAAGTCGATGCGTTTGCTGAAATTTGACGCTTGAGAAAGTCCGATTGGAAAACAAAAGTGCTTGATAGCTAAAGTTTGATGAACACCTGCTTATCGGTGCTGCATAATTATAAAAAATTCATTATCTATAAAGCGAGAAAAAACAAACCTTGTACGGTACATTTCTCGTCGAAATTTTATGATTTAAAAGACTAGTATTTCAGAAAGTTTTTTCTACAGTTTATTCTTATCTTTTGTGTTCTGCAAATTTATTTTCTAAAACCAATTGTGTAGAAGAATAAAATAATTTGTTAAAAATTATTGATAAGTGAATTTTTATCAAATGTATTTGCTTGAAAGAAAATATCAAGCACTTCTGAAACTAGCAAATTAAATGAACCTAGACATTTAAAAAAATGGAAGGGACCAACTAACAATGAGAAAACGAACCCGATAATTATTAGATTTAAGTTCATTTTTTTCTTGCATATGATTATTTTCAGGACAGCATAATACTGATTGCAAAAAGGCCTAACTCCTATTTTGCATATATGTTTTTAATTTTAGGTAACAAGTATGTATGCATATGTCACTTATCACTCAAATTATTCTTTAATTTAACAGCAAATCTAATTTCCCACCTTTTCAGCAAAATTTCTTTATTGCTAAACTTTCTATGAGAATTTTTTTAAGTGATACCATTTTCATATCAAGTCAAGTCAAGCTTTTCTTCATTAATTTTATCAAAAATCAGTGTAGATGACATACTATGCCAAAAAAGAAAAATAAACTTGATGCATCAATCTTGTTGACTCCAAAAAGATTGTCGATTCAGTTGTCAATATATGATAAGCTCAAAAAATCAGTCATTCCTTAAAGATTTGAAAAAAGAAAAGCACTCTGTGTTATTAGCAAAATATTTAAACCCAAAACTTTTCAAAAACAATTTTACTACCATATTATTTTGTCGTTTGATTACCAAACCTAAAATATATCAACTCACAAAGAAAAATTAAACTTTGTAAAATTTTCAAACATATGAAAGTCAGCTTCGGATGGTGATTGCATTTGAATATTAGGAAGTAAAACTTCATTACAAATAATCAATTGCTTGAATTGAACATTCTTTGCAAATACAGTTGGAATAAATAAAATTATATGCAAAAAATTGAGTAAAATAAAAATAGCATAAAGTACTTGCTGTTGTAATAGTGATAACAGATGAAAAATGATGAAACCCGCAAAGCGGTCGGAGAATAAGACGTAAGATTAGATTATATTATATTAGCCCTTAGATTGTAGATCTTACGGTGTCCAAATTGCGTCATTAAAGGCAAGTAATGTGAATTGAATGGTGGCTGATGACAACACCCATTCGATCAGTGAAATATTAGTCAATAAGCTAATTATCAGGTGTGTTTCAAAGATATATGAAAACAGCATTTTGATTCTACCTCCCATACATTCATTAAAGCATGATAATTAGCTTATCAACTAATGCTTTGCGGGAGCTTAGATGGATTGAAACTAAACTTCTATTTAATTAAAGGAATAAAAAAAAAGTTATTGAAATCAGAAAGTGAATTTTTAATCTAATTTATTATTAGTTTTCAATTATTTCTTTGTTGAAAAAGTAATTAAAAATAAATTGTTTAACTTAAAATTAAGATTAAAAGTTAAATTTGGGAGAGCCTTTTTGAGAATTAGCAATAAAAAAATAATTTAAGAAATTTTCAATTTAAGAGGGCAACTAAAATCAGCAACGGCGATATCCAAAAGCGATAGGTAAGTAAAAAATGAAAAGCTTCTACCATGCCATTTTTTAACACATTCATTAATTTATAAAATTAAAAATCCACTCGAAATTTAAATTAAGTTAAGAATTGAAAATTTTCTAGTCAGTTGAAAGTGGATAAAGAATCAAGAGTCCAACAAGAGACTAATGTAAAGGTGGAACAACAACGTGGTGGTTTTCGGAAATTACTGATGCGAATTAGTGAAAAAATTGGTACCACAGAAAAGACTGAGTACACCAAATGCTTCACTGATATGTGCAAGGAAGTGGACGAATACAGAGTAAACATAATAAATGATCAATATGATATTAATAGTTGAATTTTGCTTTAAAATCCATTCATTTTGAAAAAAATTCATTCTGAAATTATCATTTTTTGGATAAAGGAAAATATCAGGTTATTTAGGTTATAATCGAGGATATAGCACAACAATTAATTTCTATTCTTCAACAAGATCCACGTTATGTGCCAAAACCACCCGGTAAGATGGAAATTGAAGCTCCGCCGCAGGAAGATCCTTTTGAATTATTGGAAATGGCGCTTAAGATAACAAGCAATCAGATGGAGTCAAAAAAAGTCCTATTTTTCGTTAAATAGAATTTTATTATTTAAAAAAAAAAAAGATCATGGATAACCATAAGCAATATCCTATAGATTTTGTTTTGTTTGAATCAATTAATTAAATTTTATTCTATTTTACTAATTAAATTTGAAATGGAAGATTATAAGAACCGCTTGGCTATTTGCACCTCTGATGATCCATGTTACTGAAATGCTATTTTACATTAATTGCAGGAAGTTGAACAAATCCAAATCTCAGCACTTAAACTTGCATCATTAAATCGTGAATATCATCGAAAAGGTCGCCGAGCCATACACAACATTCGGACGTTCATTAACGTCGATTACGAAAATATTCGAGACGCAAGGAACAGTATGCTGCGACATGTTTGAAAATGAATGATTCAAATTTAAAATTAAGCTAAACTGGATTTCACTTCAATTTTTTTCTTCAGTGTTGGAGAAATTTCGCCAAGAGCTTGATTTTGCGAAGTATGAACTGAGAGGTGCTAAGACTCCTGAAACAATTCAAGTGAACAACGCCCTTTATGCTGACGCACTCAAAAATTTCCAGAAACAGTTGTGTGATGTATGAAAATTTTTTATTACTCGAAAAGTGTCGAATAATGTATTGCCTAATTGGGAAAAAAGTCAGATAATGATAATATTGGCAGCAATAAATGATAATAGTAGTAATTACAGTGATGATAAAATAGCTCAATAAACAAGGCAGTAATAGAAATACTTGATAACAAGATACTTAGCAAATTAAAGTAACTTATTGAACAAGCAAGTGCAGTTGCAGAGATACTTACTTATAGACTGAAAGTATGCTGAAAAAGTTACCTGAAACTCGAGAGAAACATCGCATAGAAATTGTGAAATTTTTTCAGGTATTTAAATATTTTGTATTTTTAATTTGCAAGCTGAAAGCTTTTTTCGCCCTTCCTTCCATAACTTCCTCATCTCTTTATCTGATCAATTGTGATGAAAAAAAAAACCGCATATTTTTTTCTTTTTCCCTTTTATCTAATTCCGTCTGAAAAGAAATAAGTAAATGGAAATAAAAAGTTCCGCTTTGATGGATACATTGGTTAGGTAATTAATTACATATGCAATAGAAATTCTTAAGCTTTTATGAATTTTGTTTTTCTATTTGATTTTATTCAGATATTTGAGATGAATAGAATGGATATTGTGGGAAATACTTCGTTCTTGTATTGCTGAACTAAAAGCTTTTATATTGGAGCAAAAAATTTTTATAATTTTGTAGTTGATGAGAAAATATCATCAGCACTGTGCCAATGCGACCATTTTGTCCATTTGAAGTTGATGAACCAACCAGTCCATTCATTTATAAAATGTTGAAGAATGCAAAAGATTCTGCTCAACAATGATTTCCCTTTGTGCAATGAAAAATTCTAATTTTTGTAATAAATTATTAGTTAATACTTTAAAAGTCCCATTTTTTGCTGAATTACTCAATAATGACCGCTTATAATAGCTACTATCTAATGAGTACTCATTCATTAGATGAATATGCATGTGCTGCCTGACAGATGGTCCCACGTGATTCACCTGCTTCGCAGTTATAATCTCTGATTTCTAAGAATTTATTTCCATCTGCAAATGGATCAGTAAAAAAATGGTGTTATGCCCAAACTTTATAGAATAATAAATATTATTACTCAAAATTATTAAATCCTTACAAATATTTGGTTCATTTTAAATTAATTTCAATCAGTTTAAATGTGTTTGTCTATTGCTTTCAGACTAATCGCAACAATTTTCATTATTATTCCCATGAGAATTTTTAATTTCTTTATTAGTTTCTTCAAAAGGAAAAAAACTTTTCGAAAATATTTGAATTGTATCTTTCAAAAGTTCTCAGCTCTTAAAGCAAACACTTATTTTTGCAAAACTATTCTTATGAGATAGGATCATTGCTGAAAGTTACATTGACAAAACAGACATGGACCTCAACGAGGACAGGTATACTCCTCCATGAGAATATAAAATATGGAGTTAGTCACTTTGAAAACATTGCAAAGATAACAAAATTTTATTCAATAAAAGTTTCGAACAATGTAAAAAATGGAAGCATACACGAAGGACAGACAATACAGAGCCATTTTTCATACAACTAACTACAATGTACTAATTAATTTAGCATAATTACTAGTGGGATATTTTTTTAAGTGACTAAAAGATTGGTGTATAATTTTAATGTGTATTCATTTCAGTAGTTACAGTAATCATTTCGAGTTCCTCTGGTACAGTAATCCGTCGAAAAACATCTGGGTCAGCATTTGCAAAAATCTTTTAGATAGCTTTATTGGTTCCAAATAATATGAATTGCACAAAATTTCATTAATTAAAAAGAAGAAATAAATGAACTGTGGACAAAATGGGTAAACATGAAGAAGAAACGGAAAGAGATCAGCAAAAAGTGCATGACATAAAGGTTAAAGTAAGTTGGTGAGGAAATGAAGGAGCAATTTTAATTACATAATACTTTTAAATTCATTCCCATATACCTGAGATAGACAAAAATCTTTCGCTATTATTGTTTGCTAGAAACCTGAAAAAATGAATAATTTTGATGTTTATTTCAGATCGCAAAATCATTATTTCTTTTTTTGCATATTTAAAGATGAGACCCGATTCTTATATTTATTAGTAATGTTACTTAGAGTAATTGTAAGACATACGACTATCTAATAACATGACTTAGAGTAGTTAGACAAATTATTGACATAAAAATACTTAACAAAGTTGGCTAGTTGTAAAAGAAATGCTTAAACAAGATAACTAACCAGAATGTGTAAGACAACACCCTAAACGAATGTCAAATCGAATCATGAAATTCAGTGATATTATCAATATCAGATCACCAAATGGAACACTTCTTTATTGGGTTCATCGGTGAACCTTTGGGACAATGGAATGCTTCGGAGAATTCAGGTCGATTTTGAAGTGGTATTATGGCACGATACTTGCTTGGTGCATGCACATCCGCCATTATAATTTGCAAGTAATGTTTCGGCCTTATCAAAGAGCACCAATTCTAAATGAATAAACTATAAGTAGTAAGATAAATAATGAAATATAAAATAGGATAGATTTAAAACTTTCTCTCTACTAATTCAGCAGGTAAACGAAACTTATTTAAAAAGAAATGTAAAAGGTAAATTCATTTAGAAATTCCTTATTATTTTAATCAAGATTAATGACAAAAATTTAATCTAAGCCAAAATATTTCATTATTTTCAATCACTCATTAAATTAAGCATTGGAAAAGTGAAAGGAAAAAGTTTAACTAATGAAGTTACATTTGCATAAGCAAGGAAAAACATCTGTGTACTGGTCATATTTTGAAAGCCTGGCAGTGCTGCTTCTTGACGAGAATTTTCTTCAACCCATGATTTATAGGCCTAGAAATCAAGTCACAGCATCACAACAATCAATAGTAAACAATGACTTGAACCCATCTGAAACTTCAAAATTTGTTGTAATCAAATAGTTGAAAAGATAACAAACTATAAATGCTGTCTTTACGCCAGCATTATCAGCAATATTTTCGCCAACAGATAGTTGACCATTTAAATGTACACCAGCTTCTTCCACTTTTACTGCATTGTATTGTTTTATAAAGCATTCCGTCTTCTCGTAAAATTTACGTGCTGTTTCTACATCCCACCAATTATGCAAATTACCGTATTCATCAAAACGACCACCTGAATAATTAATTAGCTGAATAATTGTGAAATTCATAAGAGACAAAATTAAAGCTGTGTGTAGATAAGTAAAGTAAATTATTAAACAAGCCTTGATCATCAAAGGCATGCGACACTTCGTGCCCGATAACAGCGCCAACCATCGCATAAGTAATATAACTTGGTACACCGGGTGACATAAATGGAAATTGCAATATACCAGCCGGAAATACTGAAAATTGTAAAAATTTATAAAATTTGCGACAAGAAATTGCTTATTTATATCAACATTCGTTACCTTACAGTAATTTGAACTGATGAAACTGACTCATTTCATTCAAGTTGGGCGCATAATAAGCGTCAACCTGAGCTGGACCTTGGAACCAAATCGATGTATCCACAAATTTCTTCAACCGCATTAGCTCATCGGTAATGCGCACACATTTAATCCGTATTGTAAATTCAAGCAGTGATTCATTAGCTGTGGTTTCAGGCTGAAAAAATTTTTGATAATACTAATAACTCGAAATTCAGCACTGTCCAAAATTATTTTTCGCTATAAGAATTATGATACTTTAATTACCAGCGCGTTTCTTAAAAATTTTTAAGATACAAAGGCATACTTAAAAATAATTAAGACAATTCTTTAAACTTGCCAAGGCCCAGTTTTTCTCCATATAACTTTCGTTGAATATGTAAGGAGGGAATCCACTCTTGTAATTTATATGCTGTGCTTTAATGACAGCTCGTCTTCGTGTCTCTTCATCCATCCAGTCGACATTTTGCAATTGTTTGATTAATTCATTTTTGAAATGTTTAGTCAGATCGTTCATCTAAATGATTGTTTGTTATTCGAGTACATATTGCAATGTATTCAATTAAAAATCAAAATATTTTCATTCTTTATTTGAATTTAAGAAAAATTTGTTAAATTTCAGTGTTATAAATTTAATTTGAAAATAAAAGGTAAATGTTTGATGTAGTAGAATTTAAATTCAAAGATTTACTTTCTTCATTGATCTCAGCTGATCAAAATGATTAGCTACATAAAGTCTTCCAACCGGCATATCAATCATTACTGTTGCAAGAAAAACGCAGTCTTCCCATCTGGAAAGATTAGCAAATCTATTGGGATAATAAGCTAAATTTTCCTATCTCTAAACAATTCAGTGATAAAATAATTATTGCACCATGACGTGGTGTTACTTGATAAGGCTAAAACGGGTGTTTATGAGGTGATGTTTGCTGTGTCGTTTTCTTGTGGATTGGACGCATGATGATCCGGATTTTGCCATAGTGGCATAACGTACGACGGAATGTTTCATACAGAAATATTAGGTTTTAAGTTCAATTTGTGGAAATTAGAAGACTAACATTTTTTGAAATGATTGATGTGATCATAAAATGGTTTTCCAACCTTTACTACTCCCTTTTCTACTAAAAAAACAAATCAAACCTATCCGGAACTGGAATGCTGGGTAAGCCGGTTTGATTAGCTTTGAATGCATAGAAAGGTTCTCGCATTACAGGTGATAAAAATGGTGAATAGCCCTGAATTACTCGCCATAACACATAATTAGCAATGGTTTGTTTACTAGACCGTCGCATCACTTCCTGTAATGATTTAATTTTTGTAGTCACGAGCCCGTTTTGAGTCTTTTCCTTTCGATTCCACACAATCTTCAAGAATAATTCGCAAGGGAAAACTTATGTCATAGGTGACGGAAAGCTTTTTGTAGTAAAGATGATATTAGTTATACCTGAATTCGATGAAAATATTCCGGTTCTCGTATGATTACTGTGTCATTTGGACTGAGTTTCTCTAAACCACCGAACATTGTATGTATATATGTGATCAGATCTATCTGAAAATTTTCATTTCCTACTTCACTTCACTTAACTTTATTATATGACACTGTCCCCAGCAGTATGTAAATTTAATTTGAAAATTTTGTGACTTGCATAGAAATATTCATTAGTTAATATCCAGTTTATACTATATAAAAGAATATTAGTAAAATTCACGTGTGGAAAGATACTGCCTAATTGCCAGAGCTGAAATCGATTATTACCACGTTCCGGATTACGTCGAGTCATTTCATCAGCTGAGAAATTCACCAATCGTAACTCAAACTCAATTGCTTTTTTCATGTCATGTTTGGCTTGCGTTGGATCAGCTCCTGAAAATTAGAATTTAATTTATTCTCATTTAGCATAGCTTTTCTTAAATTTTATTTTAAATTTCTCCAGCAAAATCCAATACCTATATTAATAGCCGTCTGTACCATTAGTGATGTATAATTCTGGATAACTAGATCGTCTATTCCTCCTAAATATGGCCATCTTGAGCCTACTCCCCACTTTGGCTGATCAACCTGCAAAAGAATCTCGTTTGTGTTGCAATTTGGGAACAATGGAACTATTCGCATTGTTGAAATTAGAACGATAAAATTGATCGACCCATATAAATCAACCCAAAATTCATTGATCTACATGATTACACTAGAAATTCCAAAAATAGTCTGATACATTAAGGAAGATATAACTGACTCATACGAGCGCATTTGAGTTATCGCAATTGTCTAAGGACATGAAATGTTGATAGCAAAATAACAGAATTATTCTTCCTATTTGCATACGAATGAGTTGCTAATATTTGAACTATGCAAATGAACACAACAAGAATACAAACTGTTTTCTGTTAGAGTGCATAACAAGTTTACCTCAATAATAAACCTGGAACTGTTTAATGGATCATGTGATACGGCCAGTTCTAGAATAATTGCATTAACACCTGTTCTATTCATAATATGTGCTAACTGCTTTTCCCAGCTGTTATTCCAAGGTTTCCAGTTGTGTCCTTCCAAAACTGGCCATCCACCTAAATCGCGAAGCAGCTTTCGCATCGATGAAGCTCCCGTAGCTTCTAACTCTTCTGAAAATAAGTAAAATTTCTTCTCAGATTAAATTTTAAAGGCAAACTCGGTTTATATAATAATTTTTACTTCCAAAGGTATTTCATCAACTGCGGTCTTTCACACACACACACACACATAACAAAAGAATCCTTAATATGTTACGTAAAGATTTTTTCTCTAAGAAATTTTGAATTTCCATTTGAAAAATTTTACTTCACAGTATCCATTTCAAAATATGTTGAAATTTGACGTTTTAACTACTTTGTTTACGGTAGATAATAATTCTAAAATTTCACATAACCAAACCTTCATTAAGACATTTCTGATAATATTGCTTTGCGAGACGATTCCATGGTTTGTCAGTATCAGTTACTGGAGCCTTAAAAGCACTTATTACAAAATAATCGTTCATAAAAAAAATTCAATTACGGATAACAAGATGTGACTAAATTAAAAATGAAATTAAATTTCTAAAACCTGCAATAATTTTCTGATTTGTTTATTGAGACGATTTTGCATATCGCTTAAGGTATGCCTAACCGCCTTATTAGATGGTAAGTGTCTGTTGATCGGGTAATTACCACAGGCGTATTCATAAAAGTCATCACAAGGGTTAATCTGAAAAAGAGACAAACAGACAATCTACTTCTGTTTATGCTTATATAAGAGAAATACAAAAAAGTAATAGGATGCATGTGATGAATAATAAATGGATTTCATAAATTCAGATGTTTTTTCCCAATAACAAAGTATTTTAGCCAAATAATTCTAATTTCAACCACTTGCTGGTTAAGATTTCAAATAAATTGAATTTTCATTTAATTTGTTATATTTTTTGGAAATCAAAAATCTCTCCAAATCATATTTAAGTTTTAATTGATGATCATTGGACAATGAATAATGCACTGCAATGTTTACTCAAATATAATGATTGTTTGTTTCTGATTCATTATATTAGATAAGGTGATGCTGAACTTAAAATATAAAAATCACAAATCTTTCTTCATAACCAACAAAAAAGAAAAGAATTCAACCCAAATTTTCTGAAAAAATTTCTCCGATTTTTAAAAAGAGTTTGACACTTTAAGATTAAATGCATCATAGTTCAAAAGGTGGAGATTTTTCTCATCTCATCAATCCCACATCAAATGTGTACCTTTATCTTTTCTTTTCTCAACAAATATTTATTGATTCCGAATAAAATTGGAGTTTTTCAAAATGTAAAATATTGATGAAAACAGTGATACACTGTTCAGATTTAAAATTTATGAAAGTGATAACTTTTAATAAATTTGATATTACCTAAATTTCTAATTTTTCTTGCTGATATTTTGAATACATATTTATAATCAATTCAATTTGATACTATCAGCAAGGAATGAAACTTCAAGAAAATAAAAAAGCTTACCTTTTCGTTAAGATTGCTGGCAAAGAAGCCCGAAATTTGAGCGCATTCCCTAGAAGTGCATACATAGCCATTGTGATATAATGCACTCTCGTCAATACCCACTGATAACAGATTGGCATCCTCGAATAGATCTCTTTTTACACTACTTGGAAATGAAGAACCTGAAAGATTCCTCAAATGCTTATCAGTTCGTGAAAGATTCGTCATTACTACTGAATTCTTATTTTTGATAGAACTGATTCTTGCATGAAGTACCCATCCTAATACATTACAGATTAATTTGAGATTGGTAAATATCATAAGTTATATCTTCAACTTTCAATAAAAATTTTATTTGTTATTCAAACTTTGATATGCGAAAAGCCATAGCGATAAGACACCAATTAATAATGACACTAAAATAGAGGAAAACACAAGAAGTCCGATTTCCAGGTATGTAAAGCGAAATATACGTCGCCTGAAATTGATGCATTTGAAGTTAATATGAAGATTTGAGAAATTCTATAGCTTTAGAAAATTATTGAAGTCAATGAAAATTTTTTAAAATCTTGAAAGTTTTTCTGACCGGAATTTCAAACATTAGAATTTTTGCGATTTATAGTATTATTCTCTCCATACCAAAAAAAAATTAAACATTCAGGTAGTATAGATGACATTTTTAGATAAAAGGTATTCTGCCTGTAAAACTGCAATTCTATCGTTTTGAGAGTTCATAGAAAAATTTTCGATTTATTTTACAAAAGTTAAAATACAAATACCTTGATGAAATGCGATTATTCCATATGCTTCCATTTTGATCGCAATTTTTCATCACGACACACAAAGCGACAATTTATACAATTCAGTAATAAATTTAGTGATATACAAATATTTGCTTGTCATACTGATCTTTCCATTTTATTGGTATCATTGCGTGCTAATATTAACAATATCAGCTTTATAGAGTGCTGAATTCAGAAATCTCTTCAATATTCGCCTTGTCGTGCAATTATTGATAAAGTGTAAACGTTGTAAATAGCATGCAAACCTAATTGTATTCCATCGACTTATCAAAGATGAGTGTAGATTTTAAGGATAAGGCTCAAAGTATATGAAATGTGTAAGAAAAATACAACCAAAAATCAAGGAAAAGATGAATCGAATAGAAATATAATGGCGAGTTGAATTTTCAAATTGAAATAGATTTAATAATTAGGCAAAAATGCAATCAAATGCGAAAAATAATTTTGTGAGCTCCTTTCATAGTTAGCAGTTAGTTTTGATTTACTATACATCTCTTTCAGGATAAATTATAATTTTCCAGAATGAATTCTTTAACCATCTGGAATAAAATTCTGTTGAATGCTTACGAGTCAGTTAAAATTCAAACTCTCACAGATTCTGATAAATGCATCGAAATTTCCTGTTGAAATTGTAGACATTTTTCAAAGTGACAAAAGACTTTGTTCAATAACAAAGTCTTTTGTCACTTTGAAATGTGCTACATATTGTGCTACTTTTGTTCTATGTGCTACATATTTCTATGTGCTCCTCCATTAAAACGATCTTAAATTTTAATTGACTTCTAAAGTTTACAATCTTTTAAGACTTCTAAATTTCAAATTTAATAATTTTTAGACATGTAGAAAAATAAATTACAATCAATTATAGAGCATCTAGAAAATCAGCGGATTCTCCACATAATTAAAATTTTTTTAGATAGAGTGTCCTTCACAAGTATAAAAGAGATTTAATTACTTTTTGTGTTTTAATCACTTAATTAGAAATATTGCAGACCTTCAGATAATGTAACTGTGAGAAAGTTGAGGGGATGAATAGCATTAGAGATTAGTATCGGATTTCTCAAATATTTAAAATAAATCAAATGTCACTTGCTTGACTATACCAAGTGTAAATAAGGTGATGAATGTTAACTCTGATGTAAAATTTTCTATTCAATTCCGATGAAAAAAACTTACCTAAATACATACCCACTTAAGGAAATTCATCTTTAACTGGCTAGTATTTAACTTATGGATAGTAAAATTACTCTTTATCAAGCTGAGGAAAAGTGACAAAATGATGAGATCCAGAAATAAGTAGTAGAGAACGAAGATTTAATCTGAATAAAGCGGATACAATTCGAAAAAAAACGATGCTGCTTTTATTATGCTTACAGGAAAGCGGTACCTAACATTCATCAATTGAAAAAGTTGAAAAAACGCACAACTGACAAATTGAACTAACTTTTCTCGCTAATAGCGCAGCAGCTGTGCTTGGTAAATGTGTAAAATTTAAGGATTTTCTTTCAAGACTAAAAAACGGTGTACTTGCAAAAGTTGGCTAATTGATGCAAAAATTAAAACAGAGTCTCAGAACAGAATGTTGTAAACAAGTAACGAAATGTTTTTAGAGGTACTGAAAAATAGCGATTTAGGACATCGCACTTTTGCGAAGCCGTACGTTTCACATTTCTTTTTCATCTTTTTAAGTTTTTAAGTAAAATCTTTTTTAAGTAGAAGCTTGCATGACGAATCGAAAAATACCGCAAACGACGAATCCAGAAATTACTAACTTTGTAAGAATATGCGACAAATGATTTAATGAGATTTCTGAAAAAGCTTAAAGATGAGATTAGCTACTCTTTCAGTCTCATACACTTTAAAGATATAATTCTGACTTTAAGAGTCTTAAAAATCTTTTTTCAAGAATCACTTACCTTGCAAGGGTAAGTTTTGATTTGACATTTGGTTTGGCCTATGTTTACAACAATTTTTGCCATTTGCAAAATACGATGTTCTAATTTATAAAAGTAGTAATCACACTGAATTATATTTTCACTAAAATTCCACATATTTATTAAAGAGAACGACAATTTGATAATAAAAGAAGAAACAATGAAAAGTGATGTTAATTCAAAATGATTGTAAGTATCTTAAATAACTGAGCCAAGATTTAATCAGTATTCTAACTTTTAATCGAAATACTAGAATAAACCAGGCTTCCTTAGATTTTGATTCTTTTGATGACTCCTAGAAACTCTCGACTGTTATTTGATTGTTTAAATGATAATTTTATGGTAGGATCAATAAGCATAAGCATCCGACAGTAATTTACGAGTTGGTCGATCAAAGAAGCCAATAAATGAGAACGCTTTAATCACTCCCTTGAGAAATAATTCAAATGTTGATTTATGACAGCATAGATGAAATTCCACCTTCTAAGCTAGCTTAAAGTAAGCAATAAAATGGAAAAGAGAGTGTGAAAATTCCGTCCATCTTTGGTTTGAAAGCCTGCCAAGACTTTGAGATTGCACATAGAATCCGTCATCACTCTCAACTTCAACTAATGAATGAATTTAAATTGTAGAAAGAGTAGAGTAAGTGCACATGAGAAGAAGTTACTATTTGATTTTTCATAAAAAAAGAACAGTTAAAGTCTTTCGAAACGATATTCGCTTCTCAAATTCAACTTTGTCAATTATACGAAGGCTGAAAATAGAGCGCACAGAAAACATTTGGCTCATTTTTGAAGCAAAATAATTTTAAAAAAAGGAAAAAAACTTCCTACACTTTAGTCTCTACAAATGCTTCGATAATTGAATATTTTCAAGAATCAAAATAGATTTTGAGATACACTGAGTTAGATCAAATTGACCGATTTATTAAAAAACTGAAATATGCGAAAGAAATTCCGGATATCCTTCAAAATACTGTGGTATTCCGAAATTTTGAAAATAATTGCTGCTGTATTCAAATAGAGAAAACTGCTGATTCACAAGTTTTTGAAAAAAAAAGTATCGGCAACTCAAAAAATGTTGTCCGAATGGGACAATATCAAAATATTTGCTCCTATTTCTTTCATTCAAGAATTTATATACTTTCTACGATTCAAAGATTAAATCGAAATTGGGTCCAAAAAGTAACGAGAGATATGATAGTAATGATATTTGATATTAGTGGATCTTATTTCACTGTTCATTTTAGTTCAAAGATATTCACGGTAATACATATTTCTCATTTTTCTTCAGTGATGGCCTACTTGTTTATTAAATTCCCTAGAGAAATAGCTTGAAAATGAAGGCCAAAAAGAAAACAAAAATGGAATGTTTTGAAATTATATCTCTAGAAAATGCACCAAAATTGAGACCTTGAAAAAAAAAGGAGTGAAAAGATATTACATTAAGTAAAATCAATAATAAAAATTTTTATTTGAAAAATTTTATTTTTAGATAAGCCAAAATTTATGCGAAAATTTATTATGTGTAAATAAATTATTTAAAAACATAGAATTTTCAGGAACATATCTACATCTGTAGTGAGGCTAAGTTAGCACACCAAGACACTTTTAACGATCAATTATCATTAAATGTATTCTTTAGAACGTTAACTTACCTAATTGTTCAGAACGTTAATTTACCTGAACGTATAGCTTTTACCATTCATTTGCATATTTTTGATTTATTTCCAGCATTTTTCAGTATTAATAATTTGGAGTAAGCTTCAAGAGATTATGAAAATAAATTGTGAATGAAGGAAATATTGTAGTACTCAACGGGGAAATGATGTAGCATTGAATGTTGCAGATAAACAATTAATTTATGAGAATAAGAATGCTAAGGACAAACAAATAAATATTTTGACAAAACATTTTAAAGCTTTGCCATACTTTAGTTTAGTTCCTATTCCTAAAATTGATCCTTATTCATGGAATGGAAAAGAAATTAATTTGCATAATTATCTCTGGTCAGTAATAATTTATGACGATGAGGATTAACAAACTTCTTAACAAGTAAACAGATGAACAAAGAAGAAGAAATAGTTTTCGAGTCAAATGAAAGAGTTTTCAAGTCAAAATGAATGCAAAAAGAAAAAAAAAAAAACTCACCCATATAAATTACAGTTTTGTTATATTTCATTTTTATGTTTAAGTTATCCTAATAACATCATTAGGAAATAGAATTTAAAATTTTAATTTTTCGGCTGACTTTCAGAAATTGTGAAATTTTTGGAGCAGATATAAATGCTGATTGAAATTCTCTGAAAAGTAGTCATTCTTTTTTTTCCAAAAAGAATTTATCCAATAAACACCAAATGATGTGTGACAAGTAGTAAAACGTTATTTGGTGGGAAATACTTCATTTTCTTACCCATTGCCACTGAAAACATTTTTTGAAATTTCAGGTTAAAATTTCTCTTGCCGAGAATTAGTTATTTTGTTTGTTTTTTTTTTTTCGATTTGTTTTGCCTCTTGCAATCTTTTGCTGAATATACTTTACGGAGTTTTTCCTTGCACTCAAATAATGAGAAGCTTCTACAACTACTTTTTACTTCAACAGTAGCATTCTAGCCTAATGGTTTCTTTCTATTTATCTTGCAATAGTGATTCACTTGATAGTTTGATAATGCAATTTTAAATTACTGTTATAAATTGAAATCAAAACATTTTCTTCCAATCGATTTGAAAAACTGACAAAATTTTTGTACTGCATTAATATGTATCTTATAATAGACACATTTAACTGTAACATACAATACTAGTGGCATGAAAATAAAATTAATTAGTGGCATGAAAATAAAATTAATTAGTGGCATGAAAATAAAATTAATTAGTGGCATGAAAATAAAATTAATTAGTGGCATGAAAATAAAATTAATTAGTGGCATTAGAAAAATAACAGTTAGATTTGAATAAGATGAAGTAATTTTAAGCTCAGTAAAAGGATAAATAAATTGCAAAAAATTTCAAAAATTATTAACTGTTCCCTACTATGCTCCATGCAAGGTACAGTGGACTTGTTAGTCCTACTAAAGCGCAAAGATGGAAGAGCTAAAATGAACAGCGCCATCCATCTCTCTGTCAAAACACAATGAGACACAGTTAGCGCCAAAAGTCATGCAGCGCAGCCATAATGTCCCGAATAGCTTCAGAGACAAAAAGCTTGAGTTGGGCATGAAGTAATCATTAAAGTTCGTTGCAGGTTAGCTGCTAATTAGACTTTTAGTAACTTGGCGAATCGATAAATTAATAATACACTTATTTCATCATCGAACCTTGGACCAATTCAACAGTTACCAATATAGTTAAATTGGGAACTGAAATCAAAATTTATCTCTTTTATAAATTCTTAAATAGTCAAAGTGAAAGTTTTGAAAAGAGATGGGACAATACAAGAGGACAGAGTCTGTTGTCGGAAATGATGAATTGCGCTTGAATCAGCATCAGTGTAACAAAAATGTGGCGAATAGAAGAGAGATTAATTCTGATCATGAAAATTTCTCTCCTAATTTATATTATTAATAAAATTAATTAGGAGATAGCAAGCATACAACAATATTTATTTAATGACAAACATTATCAGTAGGGAATGAGTTTTGTCCAACTTCCTCTTACATTACTTCTTCACCTGATTGAGTTTTCTTTCTCTCCAAGGCTATCATTCCTCAGAGGTATACTTCAGAAAACTCTTGGTCTTCATTCAAGTCATACAATATATTTCAAATTAAAATTGAAAAGTGCTACGAATATTAAGCTATAATTATTATGGTTGTAACAGTTGTGAAAGTAATACTACATTCTCTGAGACAATGAATTTAAATCAGTTAAGGTCAAAATGGATATGTATATAAGAGATAGAAGGACACTAGGGTCAAAATGCAGGTCAATGATGATCAGATGACCGTTCTTATCGTTGTTCAACAGGCAGATGACCGTTACACACAAGTCGGAAATGTAAATAAATGGGGAAAATGTGATATTGTTGGAATGTAAACATAAGAAATTGATGTAAATAAGTGTGAAATCGTTCTCTTTCTGGTTCATTTCTTCAGGACGAGTGAACGAGTTTCTGCAACTAAATATTTTACATTTTCGAGACTTGTAGTATCTTTCACTGCAACCGAAGGTGATAGGATTTCTTAGTCATTGATTTTTATCAGCATTTTTTAATTTTCTGACTAGTGATATCTTTGACTTAACAAGGGTCATTTTGTTCCAGAAGTTTTACAAATAAATTACTTTTGCGATATTTCCCACTTAGTTTCAAAATATGTTCATGTCCAGTTGAGGAGATTACTTTTTTTATATTCAAATTATTATCCATAGAAGGGAGAAGATTTAGCCTTATGAATTAATATTAGATTTAAAGAGCGAAAATTTTGCTGAAAAAGGACAATATTGATAATTGATAATAGCATTTTAAACAGCTTACAAGATTTGTCATTATTACATTTGGCGTGTGGCCAAATGTCATCCAAATTGTTTGTTAGCTGTCAATAGATGAAATTAGATTAACAACAAAGAAGATTATGTATTTATGTTTGTGATGGACACGTAAACATAAGTCTTTAAGTCATTTATGGTTGAATTAGAATTAAGTGCATGGCTTTCGGCTCTCGAAATATTTAATGCACATTGCTTGGTCTATCACTTTGTCAACGTTTATAAAGCGATCTTTTACCGATGCAAAAAAGATTTTTTACTTCTGGTCGTTTTTAAAATGTTAGTGATTTACCATCACAATTTTGTTTGTTTTCAGTTAATTTCATCCAGAATTATGAAAAAGTTAAAAAGTGACTAAAAATGAAGTCATCAGTAATCTGCTTATCAAACATGAAATTCACGACTTTGCTTACAATATATATTTCTAGGACGGACTGAATTACATAATTTCGTATCCAAGAGAAATCATTCACGGAAATCGAAATCGATAAAGGAATTTAGTAGCAATTCTTCTGTCTTCTTTTTTTAACGTGAAGTAAATTAATGTCTTTTGTTGTGGAATTAATACAGTTCCACGAAGGACGTACCAAACAAATATCATTCTTAACTTATTAAGACCGGTGAATCTCATAAAGCCTTTGCCATGTATTATCACTTACTACCAGGTACTGATTGCTAAATGCAGTCATCAAAAAATGATAAATTTTGAGGCTAGCATATTTGTATCAGAAATTTTGTAGACAAAACAGTCAGCATTAAGTAATTGGCAGGCGAGAGAATCAATCTCTTAGGAGTTTTCTCGATCTGTGATATGCGGTAGAAAAGATTCATTTCCCGATCGAAGTTTTCTGTCTTATTCCAAGTTCATTTCATATATTCTGTTAAAGACAAAATAGTTAAAGCTTTTAAATTCATCGCACTAATAACTACTGCTTTCATTTAATAGGATTCTAAAACAGTAAATGACGTCATCCACTGCAATTAACTTTACTTCCAAGAAAAATTTTTTTTGACTGAAGAAAAACAATTAGAAAGTACAGCTGATGTTCAGAAATCATTAATCCTTTCGTTTCATAAATTTAAGTTAGCGGACCAAATTCAATTAAGTGCGAGCCATATGGATGTTTTGTGGTGAGCAAACGATATAGGATTTTAACTTAAATTTATGACTTGCAGTAAAGTAAATGATTTGAACAAGGAGGAAATCGCTGAAAAAGCAACAATCCAAAACATATGAATATTAAGCAACAAATTTAACTTTTTTAAATTTTCAATAAAATGTTAAAATCTTGAAAAGTATTTTTATTGATAAATCTCAAGGTTTGCTTTGCATGGTCTTCTCTTCTGTACCCTTTCCTCTCAGGGATTCTCTCTAAATTTAACTTATATAAAAAAAACCGTAGTCCGATCGTAGTAAAAAGGTTATGCTAAAAATATTAGAGTAGAAAAGGAAGCTTCTAAAAGCTATATCAGAAATGCAATTACACGTATAAACAAATCACTTAATTTTTGAAAAGTTTTTATCATTAAAGCAAATTTATCTATGAAATACAGCATTAAAAAAGTATTACACGTAGAATGGTTCAAAATGTATCAGAGTAATGCAATTTTTCCAACACCACTAACTGAGCATTCAGCTTTATGATAGGCCAATAATATGGGAACCACTGCATCTTCCCAAAATCAATTCCTCTGAAAAAATAACTTTACATAATAAAAGCATAAAACGTCGCTGCAAATTACTAATATAGCCAGGGCAAACATGAAAACTTCAACCATATAAAAATGAAATAAAATGTGAAGTAATAAATTTACTTTCAAAACTTCAAAAATTTGACAGTCTTGGAACTAATATATGTGACATGGCAGAAAAAAGTTACTGGAATGCTTCAATATTATATAAAACACGATGAGTGGAAAAGAATTTTCGTGCGGCAAAGTTGACGATATCAGGTTCCGTGTAGGAACCAATCAACAGATAATCGAATCGTGCAAGTTGAGATGGTTCCAAATTTTCGGTTTTATTATACCTGTATATTCGTTAAAATAATTTATAATGCTAGGGATGTAAATGTGTTCCAATCAGCTTACTCTCTTATTATTCAAATCCTGACTTCAAGATTTTACAAAAGCACATGAATCTTATTAATTATTTGAAACACAACCGTGTCAGAGGAAGAGAGTTATTTCATAACTATTTTTTAAATTACTTACTCCCAAGCATCATACCACTGCAAGAATCTACTGACACCAGTCTGAGCAGCATAATTGTCGATATAGACGGAAAGTGGTTTATTTCGACTGAAATGTCGCAAATACTGAAAGAAAAATAAAAAAAAAATTTATAAAAACAATGTACTTATACTATGACATTTTTCAATAATTTGTAAATTTCACAATCCCAAGCTTTCGGTCATTTCAACCTGTATTATTTTTAGGTAGCAGCAATCGATCGTCATTCTTTTAAGAACAAATGAACTAATTTTTTGAGGCGATGGAAATAAGGATAAAAAAAGAAAACTATGGTTTACGAAAAAAGTACCTGGAGAGAAGTGAGTGCTTCACCACCAGGATAATTTCTAGAACTAGCAAGTAAGAAGATGGAAGTGCCGATAACATTTACGATTAAATGTAGCACTACTCCAACGGCCAGTAACATGCCAAACATTGATTTCCAACGATTGATCCAAATAAAAAACAAAATACATATCCATAACACAATTTGTATAAAACCAGAATCGACTAACGAAATCTTCCATATTTTAATATTTATCATAAAAACAGACATTTTTTCAAAATGAACCTTAAATTTCTATTTATTTTGAAATAATTGGAAACTTTTTTCCACTGCTTTTTCACAATAATTTTTATTTTTAAATCATGAAAAGATAACGGAAAAAAATTTCTGTGATTCAAGAATTAACTTACATTCTTGCACAGAACACTGCTGAGGAAACATTAAAAAGCGGGAATGTGTAAATGATAAATCGAAGTTCTTTATGAGGGAGGAACGAATAGAAGAAGATGTAGCATATAACAGGAAATACAATTGACAGTAAACGACGATCTGAAAACAAGACAACCGAGTGTTCTGATAGTGAATTCATATGTGTTAAATACTGGATGTATATATAATTAACAGGATTAATGAGGAATTTTGAATAATGAGTTTTGACATTGTTGAATGTTCTAAAAGTTCAGAAACCTACCTAGTTTATGATTCAATTATACAACCGATTATATATATATATATAATTATATATAATTATCAAAATAAGAAAGAATGCAAAAGATTTTAATTACCTACCAATTAATGCACCTAAAGGTATAAGAAGAGTTGAAGCTATCATTGCACGTGGAATCGCAGAATAAAAATACCAGAAATAAGGTTGAATCTGCAAAGAACAAAAGAATACTGAATTTGTGGTAAAAAGAAATAATTTTTTAAAATGAAATTAACTTTTCAATTTTTGAAGTACTTCGAGTCTAAAAAAATATAAGTACGACTTTCGGTCCTTTATTTATTTTAGATTCCAATAACTCTTCTTCACTTCTGGATTTATAAAAAAAGTAAAATCAGAACTTATAAAAAGAAGTAAGACCAAAACTTACACCATATTCGTGACTTCTATTCAATATCACATTGAACCACAACACTTCGCCTTCAGGCCATAGCCATCGTCGCCACAAGAAAGAATCCAGTGGTACGGATATGCCTAAATAATTTGTATCCTGCTAAACATTTTGCATGGTTAACCAAAAACTTGAGCGACCTTATTCTATTCAACCAAATTATTTCAAAAGTTGATAAAAAATTGAGGACATTTAAGTAAGTAAATCTAATATATATGTACAAACAAAATGAATGGCTGACCTAGAGTAAGTATAGCAGTCGACAAGCAATGAATAACAGCACCATTCCAACCGAACAGGGACAGTTGGCGTGTTAAAACAGGCCATATGAAAACACAGCCATAAAACAAAATCAGTTCACATCGAAATAGTAATGTAAAAACCGTAGCAATTCGTGCTGCACATAACCACTGTCCATCCAAAATTTTCTGGTAGGTCCAAAGTACTGCAGTTTGTAAATGACAAAAACGAAAATAGAGAAAGGACAGCGATGAAGCAATTTTGATAATTTTTAATTAGACTTAAACATTCTAATTAAGCATGAAAGTCGAATGGGAGTCACAGTGGAAAAAACTCTAACCTCCAAGTAAGGCAAATGTATTTGGAAGAGGCCTGGAACAGTAGAACATGAAATGGAACTGTGTTGCTACAATTAATCTGAAACTTTTTCTCCATCTGAAGAAAGACTGAAGCTTGAGAAATAAGCATTACGATTCCAGAACTTCATTCTTCAAAGCTGTTTCTCGTGTTATACATCCTCTGCGAATAAAAAAGCTGAACTCTGAGATGAACTGGCACCCAAAACTACGTTACATGAAACCATAGCCATATTATCGTTAACAATCTTATTAAATGTTGAAATCGATTATCAAAAACTATCAAAAATTGAAATCTAAATCGCAATGTACCTTAGAAAATCGCCTGACAATTTGCCAAAGTTTTTGTCAATCTGTCGAGCAAAATGACCAAATGCGAATAGAACTGCTAGACCAAGCACAAGCCTCACTACAATGTGCTCTTTTTGAAAAAAAAAAAATCACAAAACACCAAGTAATAGTATGATGTCAATTCAAATGAATAGCAAATTGTAATAAATCGAAAATATAGATATCAATTTGAAACGAACTGCCATACAAAATCCAGTGTTTTGCAATATAATTCCATTTGATTGTAGGAAAAAGTGAAACACTAACTGCCATGGCGCCCATAAAAGTACGTGGCACAACTCCGGGAAATTCATGATGATCATACTGGAAAACAAAATGCAGGAATTCAGATAAAAAAATCTAATGAATGAATTAGATCTCTCAAAATTTCATGCTAACGAGATTTTTAGAGCAGCTCAAAATTTAAATTTCTTCAAATCCCACATAAATTTGTAGACTAAGCATTATCTTATTTGAATATTCCTTAAAGAAATATAAAATTATTTCTGCCGCAAATAAAAAATCATTAATCCACAATTCATCTCAAGTCTGTTAAAGAATACGTGCATTGCTTAATATCGCGGGAATTGCAACTGATTTTATTATCAAGACCTGCCAGTGTGACACTCACTCTTCTTATAAAGTAATTCCTCTTTACTCACTGTAATTACGTGTTTTGCTGTAAGCCAGTGGTCACAGCAAACACTCACTCACTCAGTTCACTTCAGCAGACGGTGTGCGACAGCGGTGGCAGAGTGACAGTACGATGACACTTACGAACTGACTAACTGACTGACTGACCGACTACTGTTGGCACTGTTCGGATCGTAAAGAACAGTGAAGCTATTGTTCAGTTGGTGACAACAACAAGGACATCCATTATGAACATTTCCCAATAATAACTGAGAATTTCCTTATCTTGAAGTGATCCATATAAGACATAGAAAACAGAACAGCCTTACTGCACGACTAACAATGGCTATAAACCATAGGCTTCATATAAATTACAAGGACAGAGACATTCTGCTTAAAAAATTCACGAAATTTTACCTTGGTAAAGTTCAGTTGGTGATATAAGATGTCATGAATAGCTTGTACATTGAAACTTTCTTCAACTTTTGTATAGGGTGCCATTATTATATGCAATACACATACTCCTATCAGAAACCATTCTGAGAGTCGTTTCCTTTTACCCATTGCTCGTAATTGAAGATCAAATTCTTAAAAAAACTTTCAAACCAAAAACATACTAATTTAAACATACTAATTTCAAGCAAATTAAGTAATACACACCGGAAAACAATGCAGTTTAATGATTAACATAAGGAAAAAAATTATTTGTTACAAATGATTCATTAGCTTCAAACTAAATAGCATAAATAAACAGAATTAAGGAAAAAGGATAACAATATCGAAGTGTTCTATCTTAAATCGCCTTCAAAGATTTGTAGAGCATAGAATAAATGACTTTTTTCAAATTTCATAAAATTTAACTGAGTGACCAGATAAGTACAGTTGAAGAGGTTAAAAAAAATGAACGGCATAAAAGTTCATTAGCCTAAAACCATAACAATTTGCAAAAAAAAAAAAGAAAAAAAAAATAGGAAGGGAAGACATTACAGAAAAGGAAGAAAAGAAGAATAATCCAGCCCAATTTTTAGATTTAAATTATGCATATAGAAGATTAGTAAAATAAATTTAAAAGAGCCGAAAGTGAACAAGAATGACCTCAGAAATCCGCAACTTATCGGTTTAGCAAAGAAGGATTAGTAACCCAATACATCCTTACTTTTGTATAAAGTACATATTTTATACAATAACAATCAAAATGTTTCTAATCTTTTGATTAAAGCTCCTAATTTTGAGATTTCTTCGATCATACCATTCACCACTGCATTTGCCTGAAAGTGAATGAATAAAATTATTATAGTAAGAAAATCGTAGGATGAGAAAGATCATCGGTTGTGAGTAGACTAATAGCAAATGAAACTCACAAAAGACATGCGCAGATGTTCAACGGTATATTAAATTTAAAAAATCATGCACGTCTTAAATGTCTAAATATGACGTATATTGCTTATTTTTATCAAATACCTGAAAAATTTTTCGCCGATGTCTTTCCACTAGATCATCTCTGGTTGCACTTCTAGCTAATTTTTCATGTTTGTCAATTCGATGTAAAAATTGTCCTTTCCTTTTTTCTGCCTTCTGCAATCGTTTCAACAATTCTTTTTTGACTAAAGAACCATAATCGCCCTGCAAAATAATGCTGAAAAACTTGATGCAGTTTTCTTATAACAGCTTCTTTCAATTAAAGAATAAGATTAAAAAGAAGCATCAGAATTTGGTTTCTTATTTCGTATTTAAGAGTCATATTTCACGCACCACAATAGTAACATGGACTTCGGCTGAATAACCGTGCACAGGAAAAGGCAAACTGCAATTACTGTTTTGTTCTGTAACTGCCAACGAGAATTCGACGTTACAAAGTTCTTGAATAATGGAATGGAAATTTTTCAGATCACAGTTTCCTCCGTAGCAAGCAACTGAAAATGGGTAAAATACGAAAGCTCACATATATGAGAAAGCAAACATTAATGGAGACTTCCAAATGACCGAAAAACACAAAGAAATATGAAACAAAACATGGTTATTTAGAAAACAATACCTTGTAAGGTATTTTTTGCAGGAATCTGAAACTGTGCCCGGATGGACCTTATAGCTTTAATTACCTCCAGCACAAACGACATATCATCCTCGAGTTTTTTATCAATCAAACAAGACTTGAAATCCTAAAAATCGAAATTTTCTATCACTAGAAGCCAAAAATTATTAAACATTATTAAAACTGTTTGGAAGAATTGAAAAAAATAGAAAACAAACAAAACCAATAAAAGTACCATCTTTGGATTAAATACAAAAGTATTGCTTTCTTTTTCTCGTTTGATGCGGTCAAAAAGATACTGGCTCACAAAAGGCATGAAAATTGAGAGATGAAACAGCGATTTTTCAATAACATCATGCAAAACTTCAGCAACTACACTTAATCTTGAGTAGTCTTTTAGCCACAATGCTTTCTTTGTTGTCTCCTAAATAATACTACTTATAAAAAGATCTACTGCTTGATTCAGTTAAAGCTGACTTTTTCAAAGGTGCGAAAAAGCAATTAGAAGTTTGAAAAAATCAAATAAAAATGTAGAAAATATTTTGTAGAATTCTTTGAACCCAAATTTAACATAAATCTAATTTGAAGAAACTGACGATATAAACATCACATAAATCATTGTAGAGAAATCTGTGTAGTGCACTCAGTGCTAAATGGGGACAATCTGAATCCATTTTTTCTGACATCATCATTAAAGAACTTCCCAAACGGCTTCTTATCCAGCAATCCTAAAAAGAATATTTCGGAAATGGTATGAGCCTTGTAATCACTGATCGATGAGGATTTTTACTGCAGTTAATTTGACTTAATGAGGATCATTTTACTACGGGTCTAAAAATATTTGAGAGAATAAATTAAGTTCTGTGCTTTTCCACTTGTTTGCATAAGAGAGAATTTTGAGTATCACCGCAGATCATAGAATGAAAATCAAGTAACAGGTGACTAACTTCAAGACGATCGCTGCAAACTTGGTCAGAAACTTCACAACAGTTTCGCCATATCTCCTCAGCATAAATGCAAAGATTCCACAGCTTATTGCAAAATCTGAATTTTTTAAAATATTTCAGTGCAATTCCTGATTCACGAAATATCAAATCTGTAACAAATATTAGATATGTGATAAAATGAACTTGATTTCTCACTTTAAACCTTCCTCAGCTGTCTGTAAAATGTCGATATTGATATCTACAGCCCCAACATCATGACGAAGTAAAGCGAAGCGCAAAGCATCCGGACCACATCGAGGAATTCCTCCAGGGAATCGAGATTTCAGCGAATTTGCTGCCATTTCTAGAATTTTTAGAATTGTTCCGATATCAGAATGTAAATTTAATTTTTAATGTCTGATCATAGTAGAACTAATAACTGTAACACCAAAGCACGAATACCAAGTTATTTCATAGCCTCATAAAGTGAGCTCACTTTTTTCCTCCTCTGTAAGAGTACTTTTGTCAAGACGTCCCAGTATTTTCTGAACAGAAATACCATCAACAATATCCATTGGGTCGACTACATTTCCTAACGATTTACTCATTTTTCGTCCATTTTCATCACGTACTAAGCCATGTAACACAACTTTTGGAAAGGGCAAATAACCAGTTAAACTGAAAATTCATTTCGACAACCGCAAAACACAAGTGAAAGCGTAGATATCACTTGTTCGTATCGCTAGTAAGATTCATAGAACAAAAGTGAAAAAGAAATGCTTTCATGCGAATCTTTCATAAAAAAGAAAACCTATGACAAACTGTAACCATTCGCGCTACCCAAAATCCAACAATGTCATATCCAGTTTCCAACACAGATAATGGCACGCGATCAATTCGTTTTTTTGGCCAACCTGTAAATGAATAGTGCCTCTTTTTCTCTAAAAATTTTGCTTTAGTAACTATGCGATATGCAAGGGAATTTGTAGCTAAATATTTACCAAACAAAATGATTGGGATAAGTGACGAACAAAACCATGTGTCCAAGACATCTCTGTCCTGCTCCAAATTCATTCTGGTATTTGTTCTACCACTTATACGTAACGCTTCAGACTCATTTGGGGCCACAATCCAATCGCTAAATAAATAATTTGCTTGGAAGACTTATGAAAATGTTAGCGTTTTGCACAATAACCTAATATATATTTTAAGTTCAAATCAAACCTATCGGAATTGGGACGAAATGCTGGGATACGCTGTCCCCAATCAAGCTGTCTACTCAGGCACCAGGGCTCTTTTTTATTCAACCAATTTTCCAGATGTGTCTGCATATATCTCGGAGTTACAGTAAGCTGCAAGAAAGAAAAATTAAGAATTGCCTGAGAAAGAAGAAACTTAAAATTAAAACTTTAGGACTTATTAAGTATTAAAATTCAGTTTTTAAAACTGCACAATTAAATTGCGAATAAATGACATACCAAACCCCGCTCAATAGCTTTAAGAGCCATGTCATTCATACTGGTGCAATCCATAAACCACTGCTTCTTAGCCATTGGTTCGATAATATCACCAGTTCGACTACATATCTTCAGTTGTTGGTCATGATAGGGCAACGTTCCACCATATTTATTACATTCTATCAATTTTGATAATATCTAAATTTGAAGTTCAATATTAGTCATCTTTTTCTAAGGTTTGCAGGAGTCCCATGAAAAACAGAATTACTTTATTCCTAGCTTCAAATCGATCTATTCCATTAAAATCGGCTGCATTTATGAGACAACCAGATTCATCGATACAAAATCGACTGCAGTCTTCATCCGATAGCTGATCTGCATGATTTCTAGCAATAGCAAAGTCAGTAAAATCATGTGCCGGTGTTATTTTTAAAACTCCTAGAAAAAACGGAAATGAACTCGACAACCATGGCAAAATCAGTCAACGAAAATCTTGAAATAACCACAACATATCTAACAAATTCATAAATTTAAACAAGATAACAAAGACAGCGGATTTTTCGTAGTAATTGTTTTGCCTTAAAAAAAAAAAAAAAAAAAAAAAGCGATTTCCTATAAAATATATCTCAAAATTACCAACCTGTACCCTTATCAGCTTGCACTAATGAGTCGGCTAAAACAGGTAAGGTACGATCTGGAAGCAAAGGATGTCGAACGCGTAAGCCAATATAATTCGCATAACGTTCATCACTCGGATTAACAGCTAATGCACAATCAGCAAACAATGTTTCTGGTCTTGTTGTTGCTACTTCTAAATAATTACTGCCGGATAAGCTGAAAAGGCTGACATAGTAACTGTCCGATATAGCTATAAAGTTTCACAATTTCGTTCCATAAAATTCTTCTAAAAAACAATAATTATAGGAATAAAACAATAATTCGTCGAAATATAAAATGAAATAAGACCTGTTTCCACCCAAAAATTCATAACGAATTCGATGCATAACACCTACTTCAACATACTTCCCTTTTAAACCAGATTTATTCAGCAGAAAATAATCATTTTTTCCGACATTTACAATATCAACCTCCTAAAAATTTTACTGAATTATATTTATTTATACACACACTTTATGTATAATACAGCAA